AGATAAAGCATGTGTGAAAAGAGCAGGCGGACTTTTGGGTTTGTCTTCTCTTATTGAGATACATTGTAGAGAGAGAAAATACATAGAGAAAAAAAATAAAGAGAAACGTTTTGGGTTTTTTTTGCAGAGAGAGAAAATCATAAAAAATAATGCTTTGTGAGAGATTGAGTCTCTAGCTCTCTCAAGTAAGTTGTTTTATAATTTTATTTGTTTGATTTAGTGAAAAACATCGATCGTCTTCACCCGTGGGCCTATGGATGTAGTTACATTTGTAGCGAACCACGTAAATCTTAATATTCTTTTCATGTTTTTTATTTTATATTTTAAATTTATTGCTTGTTTCATTATTATTAATTTTTTTATCAATTATTTTTCTCGCACTTCATTTGTCAAAATTCAACCCAGACTACCCATCTTTTGATTCTTAAACAAGACATGTAAATCATCCCATTTGAGTGTGTAACCGAAAAAAGAGACGACCCCTTGAATGCATTATTAACAGACGCATATTCCTTTCCATCCCACAAGAGGGAATCACCACTTTGAGTGCATGAACCAGCACAACTTTCCAATGCTACATCATTAAAAAATTCTCATAAATGCTCACATATCAATGCTTAAAAAAACTTGTATGGAACTTCTATTTTATCAGGTTTTAAGCATGCTAATTTGATCAAGTCCCCACAAAAAGGGAGAGAGACAAGTCGAATATCTTGGTTTGAACTTTTAACCCCAAAATGGATGGAGCATTTATCCAGACAAAAGCAAGCCTACCAGGCTGGCTTGTCTGTGACAACAGTCTGGGTTTCCAGACGTGCTCTCTCGTCCCCCACTTTCATCCCCGCATCAAGCCGGCCTTACAAGATGACGAATTGGTTTTCTATTTATTTAAATTTTGACGACTGAAAATGTAATCATTTTCTCTTGATACTAATTCCTACTATTGGAAAAATCGGAATGGTGTCCAAACTGTCATCTACTGGCTTCGAGCGGGCTCAGAACCCCCATAACCGAGGTTTATAAGCACTAAAAAAATAAAACCTGTAAGAGCCCGGCAAAATAAGAACCAAACCCATAATTAGTGATTCCGAGCCAGCTCTACGATTCTTAAAATACAGATTATATCATAACCTATGCATCTGACTTCGAGACTGTTAACTTAGTGGCAATTATCGCTGATAATTTGAATTTGTCCTTAGTTTGTCACGGGAAAATCAAGGGTTGATAATATCTCCTATGTTATCACTATAAAATGAATTTATAACAGGGGCATCCCCAATATTTTCTGGATAATAACCTTGGACGACAATAACATACAATAATTGGAAGACTAAATTTTGAGAAAGAACTTAAATAAAAGATCCCCTAATAAGTAAGACTATTACCTAAAGTACAAAAATCTGTCATTTTGTAATTTCTGAATACTAACTTTTCAAAAACATTAAGTACAACTTAGTATTTAAAATTGTAAAAATTAATTGCCGTTACCTCTGCCTGTAAAGTACCTTGCAAATCTGTCATCTAAAATATTTGAACGAAGCTTAAAACTTACCAAAAATTTCATTTGAATAACTAAGACTTTCTAAATAAGACACTCTTGTAAGGACTTATAAAGGAAAAACAGACAATCACAATTAATCTTGACCATTACGTATAAAATTTGGTGACTACATATGTTCGATTGACCAAGCTCTAAAGTTCCAAAAAAGCAAAAAAAATATAATGAAAAATGATTTGATAGGGCAGCGGCCCTATCAAAACAAATAAAGCCTCACCTCATAACTCATAAAAATTCAAGTTTTAGAAAATCTTTAAATCGGTGAACTCAACTTGAGCATTATAGTTGTACAAAAAAATTAGGATTTTAAATTCTAAATATAGTGTATATTGCAATAAATCACCTGGACCATCCATTTTGCCATAAAAATTAGTGTTCACAAACCTAGATGATAAGTAGTATTTTTTGAGTTTCAAATGCTATTGTCAGTGTTAAAAATTAATTTTAGAGCCACCATGAAGATTTCCTACGCCGAAAAAGCTTTCCAGATGAGGAACTCAAAGTTGAAAAGATATTTTTTCGAACTCTATGATACATCCAAGCTATCAAATATCACACGGTGTGTACTAAAAGTACATGGTCTATGATCTGATGTACGAACCTATATAATATATCTTTCATATATTAACACTCGAATAAAATTTTGATAAACACCGAATAGTATTGCTCATATATTAACACTCTAATAAAATTTTGATAAACACCCAATAGTATCCCAATGCCATAGCCCATGCATCCGGAATGAATACGAAAGAGGTTGGTGTTCATGGTAGGAGCATGCTCATGAGTCAGATGAGCAACTGTGCAGATAAGGAAGCACCGAAAGGATGGTGGAGGGTACGTGCCCACATGGACAGAGGCCGTGTTTGAATCTTTAAAATATGGGCCACCAGCCTGGCCCTGTGATGAGTTCTCTCCACGCCTGTTCATAGACCAGGACATAATTGAGACTGCACCGGTTAAGGACCCTTTCTTTATTGTGCGCAGGTCTTGACTTTTGATCCCACTTTTTTTCCTGAAACCCACCCACGCTTTGTCGCCTGTACGCCGTGTGACCACTGCAGCTCTCCACATGGCGAGAGATAAACAATGCACTAATTCGCCACCCTTTAAAAGGCCAGAAGAGGCTCTTTCACCTCCACACTCCTCTTTTTCTTTGGTTTTTTATCTCTAACAAGCAATCCAAACTCTTGTGTTTTTGTTGTCAAGGAAACGCAGAGACGAATAGATAGAGTTGCAAAAATGGTGGCTTCTTTTGCGCGTTCGCTTTCTCTTCCAAATGCTAGATCCAAAACGACATTGCATGCGAGATCTGTGAGCCTGCCTTGCCAGCCTCACCCGGTGACGGCCCAATTGCAGGACCATTTGCAAAAGCTCAATACATGGGTCAAAAACTGTTCCAAATCAGTGAGCTCGTTAACTGATGGTTTAACTTCCTTGAAAGGCCTCTACGACTGCTTTGATGATCTTCTCCAACTACCACAGACGCAGGGAGCCTTGAGCCATAACATCAAATGGGCTAACGCTCTCCTCGAAGACCTGCTGAAGCTTCTCGACTCGCACAGCACCTTTAGGGCCGCACTGCTTGCGCTCAATGAGCAGCAGCTCGGAGTGCAGGTGGCCCTCCGTAGGAGGGACCCTTCCATCAGAGCAAAGCTCGGCTCGTTTCTGAGGTTTCGAAAGAAGATGACCAAGGTAATTTCTGTGTTTCTCCCTGTTCTTGCCTCGATAGCTCAATCGACAATGCCAAGCACTCCCGAGGCCTCATCCGAGCTCTTTGCAGCCCTTCGAGATGTTCGCACTGCGACCGTGACTGTATCGGGTTGGCTTTTCCTGTGTCTCTCTCTCAGGCAGAGGCCTAACAGCATTTCAAGATTAGTGTGCTCAAGGCCATTGGAAGATGGCATTGGAGAAGTGGATTCCACTGATGATGTGATCAGAGATCTATATCGTTGCCAGAAATTGGAGGAGGGGTTGGTGCAAAAAGCGCTGAAAAAGTTGGTTGTTTTGGAGGACTGTATAAGCAGCCTTGATAAGGGGAGTGAATCAGTGTTTAGGGGGTTAATCCAGTGTAGAGTATTACTTCTTAATGTTCTTACACAGTAGGGATGGAAATAAACATAGGCAGCGTTTGGATGTGCAGATTTTTAGGGAAGAGCTTCTCTTTGTATACTTTTGTACATTATCTCTGTACAAGAGAACCTATTCGATTTAAAACCCTGAATTATCGCCAAACGTTTGTTGGTTTTGCCTGCTTTATTTCCTCTATGGCTATTTCAACTTATGTGACTTCAATGTTGGGTGTGGTTTTATAGTGATGAGTGTGGAAATTGAAAATCTGTTTTGGTATTTAATTATTGAATTTTAAGATGGACAAATGATACCGAACGAGTAGATTTTTGTAAATGAAACGTCTAGATAATATGTTACAAGAAAAAAAATTTCTCTATGTGTCAATTTTGAACTTCGAAAATTTTTCTCATATTTGTCCATTTCAAACTTGAGACGATAGACGTTTTTTTTTTTGGTAAGGTAGTGGTTAAATTAGAGGGCGTTTCAGTATCAATTTTTTTTTTTATAACGAATTTTTGAGCTACACCTTACTTTAAAAATACAGAATTGACACCTAGTATAAATTCTTCCCCTCTTTAATGTGATTGAATTATGGAAAAGCAAATAGCTCTTATATTGAGTCTGCACGCGACGAGACATGCATACCATGTGGTCTAGATGCTCGTTTTAAAATTCATCCAACTTAGTTGAAATATTTGAGTTATAAGTGAAAAACAGGTCCGTGAAAAAGCGTAGATGGCGCGACATTCAGAGTGGGAATGGGTACGACTAAGCCTTAGTTCGACCAGACCCGACCTAGATTCGTTTCAGGTCTAGGGGTCTAGCTCTATAAATAAAAAATATGTCTAAAATTATTTTATATTATAGTATTATTTATATATGAGTATTGATCTCATGAGACATTCCCACATTTATATATGTAGGATCTCAAATAATCACCATTAAATTTGACACAGGTCTCTAAAAAAATTATGACATGAGTGTGGAACTTGATTTTTTTTAAAATTTGTTTCAAATTTAATGATTATTTTTTGAGGTCCTATACACATGAGTGTGGGAGGATCTCACAAGGTGATTTCCTTTTATATGTAATTTATAATAATATATTTAGGTGGAATTGGCAACAACGCGGACCTGATCTGACTTGATAAGATCCATGCTAGACCCAGACCCAGTCATGGTCAGGTTAAGGTCAAGTGGACCTAGACCCAACCTGAGCAAAGTCGGATATTTTTTGAAATCTCCCTCTCTCTCTTGTGCCTATAACTCTTCTTCTTCTTAAGAATCTCTTTATGCCTCTAGCTATAACGTCTTGTGTAATGCTACATTCTATTAAAAAACAAATGGACACTACACACTGAAGGAAAAATTAGGTAGTCTAATCGATACCTGCCTAGTTAGATCGGAACCAGCCACTAGCTAGTTTTGATTTTAGCTAGTTTTAGTGATCGGCTAAGTATTGTTTAAATAATAATATTAATAATAATATAAAATTCCAACAAACACGGGATTTTGTTTGTAATGTATTTTTTAAAGGTTTTCATCATTATAACAAGTATTGGAAATTGTTTTGATCATTAATCCTTATTTTTACATTTTTTGATTTTTTTGAAAAATTTAAAAAATATCTGTGGGGACAAATCGATTATTTAAAATCCATTTTTTCGTTACTTTTCAACTTCATTTGAATGTGTTTTTTTAATCATTCTTTAAATATAAATTTTAGATTTCATTAATTTTTTAAATTGTTTAACACATTTTTAATTGTCTGGGACTCTCCCGGTTAAAATGGTCGAACATGCCAATTTACCGGGTAAGCCGATCGAACCGCTTCCGCACCCATGTCCAATTAATCGTTCCAGTTAGCTTTTTCCTTCATTAACATAATGAGACTATTTACTATCGATATAAGAATGCCACAATCATTATTTACCATTGAATGTTAAATAGTTAGTTGGGGAAATGTCATTTAATGGACACCAAGTCCAAAATAAAATTTCTCGAATGTTGTGACACATTTCAATCCGTTAGATTTTATACCCAATGGCTAAAAATAATTATGTCCTCCGTATATAAAAAACAAACGGTCTCATAATATTCAATCCCGATTAAAAATGATGTCATATAGTGTAAAAAATAATAAGATAATGGTAGATTATATAATATACAATATTGTTATAATAAAACAAATTAGTTCATCGAAAATATTTGGGTCAAGACGGGTCAACCCAGACCTGACCTAACCGGATGTCGGGTCCTTACTTCTGGTCCCAGAGCATACCCATCAGATCCAGAACTAAAACACATACTCACAAGTCAGGTCGAACCACGAGGTTGACTCAAGCCGTACCTACCCCTACACGATATTCAAATATTAAACCCGTTTGAGGACCAGTTTAGTTAGGTTCTTAGCAAAATAACACAACGAAGTCAGCACATGTGGTGGCGAACGTGTGCACAAAAAGGGCCGAAGCCACAATGCCTTCCCGCTCCACTCGCCTGCTTTACTGGCGTGCGGAGTATAAAACGCATATGCATATTGGGCGACCAACCTGTGTATTATAGGCGGGCTAAAGAGGCACGCGTGAGATCAGTTTTTTTTTTTTTTAAAAAAACAATTTGGAATTTACTTATAAAATTCATAGAAAATGAATTGAAAATTGGAGAGTATAACTATTTAGGTCTAATATTCAAAAGGAGGATGATCCCTATTTAACATTTTAAGAGATTGTAAGATTATTTACCTATGATACAAAAAGGTCACAATTATTTATAACCATTGGATGTGAAATCTAATAGCTTGGATGTATCACAAACTCTGGGAAAAAAATTTTGAACTTTCAACTTGATCAATGGAATAAATGCAGCCACCCAATTTCGCATCTAATGGTCAAAGTTAATTGCGATTACCTTGTAACAAAGGTAAATGGTTTCATTGTATACTTTTTTATATTTCGATATTGTTTTTTGGAAATGTGTACAAAAAGACTATTTATTTTTTATATAAAGAGGCTACAATCATTATTGACCGTTGTATCTGAATCGGGTGGCTAAGGGCGTATCATTGGCTAGGCACAAGTCCAAAATCAAATTTCTCAAATGTTGTTACATACTTTCATCTATTATATTTCGCATCCAATGGTTAAACATGATTGTGATCTGTATGTACTACAAATAAATTGTCTCATATCATACAATCCCTTTTTTTTTTTGTGACACTCACAAAAGTCCCACTATTAACTTTGGCTCCTAAAAATACTACTAGTTTGGGTTGCACATTATGGGACAAATTAATAGTATGCAACTGCACTAGAAGGAAATTATTTCACTTTGTTGTCAATGGTTTTGCTTTTAAAGTAGAAAAACTAAACACATACAGACCAAGAAGGCCATATCCATGCTCCTCTTTCATTAAAGTTTATGTTAGCTAGTTGGGGTCACCTATAGACAAAATCATAGCCTCAAAAATATTCTTCTAATATTATGACATATTCTAGTATGCCCATTTAACATCCGATTGCTAGATGATTGTGACTTTTTTGTACCAAAAGGTGAACAATCGTATCGTTTACATTCTTTTTAAATAGGTCTTATTGTGTCATAGCAAAACGTTTGATTTTATAATAAACTAGAGGTTTATTAACTAGAATTGCAAAAATAATTTATTCTTTTCCCTTGATTTGGGAGAGATTACGAATCTATTATTTGTTTAAAGAAAAATGTCTTTAAAATATTCCTTTTCTTGGGTTATACGAGCGAGGAAATTGTCTATTTTGGCTGCACTAAAATCAATCCATTGGATGAGTCCACTAGACCGACTATTGCTAAAGCGTTTACTCACACAAACTTCATGTTCATTATTTTGAAAGTAATCGATTTGTGATTTTTAGATATATCATAGAATTTCAAATAGAAAATAATTCTCTTATGTAATTCATTTTATCTTTATTTATATGTCATAGTTTTAAGTATCATAAATATAAATCATCCACACACACCCAAAAGCATCAAAAGAGGCATCAAAATAACCAAAAAGATATGAACTTTCATTAATATTCAATCGGTACAAATTGTCAGCTTTAGTATCATACATCAATGTTCTAAAATGCTTCCCAATGGTGACCCGACCAAACTTGAATATTATTTCATAACACTTGTTGTCTAACTTGATAATATAAATCAAATTACACCTCATATTGGGCGCATACAAAGTATCAACAATAAGAGATTCGTTCCTCCTGATAAATACGGCTTAAAAATACTGACACCAAGTACATCGTAGTAGATGTCATTCCCCATATAAATCTACTAGTTACTGGCTGTGATCTCCTTCAAGTCCATCCTTAGTCATCGAGATATGTCGAGTGGAGGCTGAGTCGACCCACCAATTCCTTAGGTCATGGTCGGTAACTATTGATTCTAGAACTATACAGAACAAGTCAGTACTTTTATTTTGATTACTATTATTACTTCGAGCATTGTAGTTAGTCTAGATCTAAGTTTTGTTTTTCCGCTTGGGACAATTAAACTTGATGTGTCCAATTTCCTTACAACAACAAAAAATTATATTTATTCTTTTGATTTTTAAAATTTATCTCATTTCCCTTATACCTATTATCATTCTTATTATTGCAAGGTTTGGGAATTTGAGAAGATGAACTTTAGGAAAAGTGGAGTTCATTTGATTTTTTCCTCATTCTCCTTTCAACTTCATTACTGAGGTGCATAGGAAGATTCATCATAGTTATCCATTGTGCAGAGCGGTTTCATGCAATTACAACATGCTCCCAAGATGGAGGGAGACTATTAAGGATAACGAATACTTACATGTGTTCAGGGACAGAATTCCATGTCGTAGCAAGGTCATTTATGATCACTATCATTTTATTGATATGCTCGGTCACTGAGTCTGATTCTTTCATTATACAAAAATTATATTTTTCAAATAAAAATTGCACATGGGTCTCAGAAGTGGTATCATATTTTTTAAATAGGGAACCCATCATACTTTGAGTTGTTATGTGATCCTCAAAGACTTTAATTAAATAATCTTCCATAAACATAGTAGTCCTAGCTATCTTCTAACCATTTGTCAAGTCACCTTCTGGCTTGACTATTAGCATTAGGCTTTAAAATTGGTGCTTCTGTATCTAGAACATAATACCCTATCTTCGAAGAAAATATATCCAATTTTTCTTTTCCACATAAGAAAATTGGTTCCATTGAGTTTTTCAAGTTTCGATAGTT